CAGAGCCAATCGCTCAAAAGATCAGATTGAGTAATGTGCTGCGTTGCACCCTTAATGGCATCAATGGAAGAGAGATGGTCCCATGAAGTTGATCTAAAAGGCAGTTTACTGAAACAAAGTTGTGGTAAAGCCTCCAGAAGCCTTGAGGTGAATAATCTAAATCAATTATCAAGATTGGAATGTCCCTGGAGGGAGGAGGCTATTTCTTAAGGCCACCCCAACCTGCTGGAGCTATCCCTTAAGCACTCTCAATGCCCTTTGATCTAATTCCAGAGTTCACCAGAACAACCTTCTGATGGGTAATTTGATCTCCTGGGGATGCCTTTCTACGGGGAGAAAATATCTTGTGCACATGATCAGGATGGGTCAGCCTGCCAGGTTTATTATCTGGGATAAAGAACTTGCTCAGGTGAATGACAAATCAGTCATTGCTGAGTAATATCATTGGGAGTCGATGATTGACATATATCAATCATCAGAATTAGCTGAAAGTTAGATTCTGGTCCTAAACAAACCAAGGACCCAACTCTGGGTCTTCACTGACCTCCGTCAAAATGTCTATGCAGTCTGCCGAGTCACCTTGAAACAGCCTACCCAGCTCTCCAGCCGTGTTAATGACTGCAACAGAAGACCTCTTTCAGTGAATGAGGTTAAGGGAGAGTCACATTGCATGAGCACAGTCTGGCTAAATATAACTATGGGATCAATGCGGGCCGCCACAACAGCCCATGGGCCACTCAATAAGTCATCCGTCACTTCTACAAGTGAGTCAGGCCAGGCCTTTCTGCAAACCGGTGCTGGAAGGGAACCCAGGAAGCTCTGGGGACTGGCACGCACGCGTCTCCTTCTCAAGAAAACTGCTCCTAGCTCAGTGGTTCTCCACCTCCCTAATGCCGCGGCCCTTTCATACAGTTCCTCATGGTGTGGGGACCCCCAACCATCACATTATTGCCGTTGTTACTTCATAGCTGCCATTTTGGTACTGTGATGAATCGGGCGACCCCTGTGAAAGGGTCGTTCGACCCCCAAAGGCTGAGAACCGCTGTCCTAGAGATTCTTTCTGCAAACTATACCTGTATAATGAATGGAGCCACCACCGCGCCCCTGGCTTCACCTGATGAGAAAGAGAACCCCATTCGTTTTGCCTAGATTCAAGGCAAAAACCACCGTGTTTTTATATGAGGGAAGCCATCTATTACTAAGATGAAGCATGAAGCGCTCTGTCCAGCAGAAAACACACACACACACACACACACACACACACACACACACACACACTCCCTGCCATCGAGGCGATGCTGACTCACAGCAATCCTATGGGCAAGGGTAGCACTGTCCCTGTGGGTTTCGGAGACTCCACTCTCGGGCGTCGAAGACCTCGCCTTTCTCCTGCAGAGCAGCAAGAGGTTTCGAACTGCCAGACTGTGGTTAGCAGCCCCCCACACAACCACTACGCCACCAGGGCTCCTTCTGTCCATCAGGGGTGCTCCTAATTAGATACTGACAAACAAGACTCGTTTAAAACCAAACCAAACTCACTGTTGTCCGTGAAAAGAGGCCCTGCTTTCCCCAATCAGGACATTGCGTTCCCTTCCCCGTCGTCTTCCTCATCTGCCGGTGCTAGAACTCGTCTGACTTGTTTGCGTGCCACACTAAGCCGACTCATGAAACCCTAACACTGGGGGTACCCTACCGCATTTCACAGGGTGACCTCTGGACTATCATTCTCTATCAAGGGCCTCGGATCCTTTTTCTGGAACTCAATTTTCAAAAACATTTGAAATGTAGAAGAGCTTAAAACGGAGCCGTAAGGTGACTTCTCCAAATCTTGTTATTTAAAAGTTTATAAAAGATTCATGGTCTGCACCTTCATATGTGGATTGAATAAAATCTTCAAAATATAACTCAGAAAGTAAAACTGCTGATGATTAAATGTTTACTCGGTGTCAGGGATGATGTTTACTGCTTTGTTTGTCCTCTTTCATTTGATCTTCAGAAATGAAGTCTTTTAAAGGCATCTTGGTAGCACCATAAGCAGTCTTGATGGCATAGTGGTTATACGTTGGGCTGCCAACCTCAAGGTGAGCAGTTCAAAACCAGCAGCAGTTCCACAGGAGAAAGAGGAGGCCTTCTACTCTAGAAAAGTAACAGTCTTGGGAACCTACAGGGGCAGCTCCACTCTGTCCTACAGGATCACTATGAGTTGACATCAACTCAATGGCAGGGAGTTTTTGAGGGTGGTGTAATAGTTAGACACTCAGTCACTACATGAGAGGTTGGTGGTTCAAATACATTCAGTGGCTCCATGGGTGAAGGACCTGGCGATCTGTTTCTGCAAAAAGGACAACCTCGGAAAAACCCCATGAGGGGCTGCTGTGAGTCCCGGTTGACCAGATGGCCCACACCGACAGCAGTGGTACTGTTTTATTCAGATCTTGATGAAGAAGATCAATAACTAGATAATTAAAAATGTAGTTCAGCACGTACCAAGGAGCTTTTCCTACGTTTGCCTAACATTAGTAAGGAATTGGGAATGGAGACCTCCCCACTCTTGTGACCTCTGGTTCTAGTTACTTACCGTGTATTTTGGGGCATGCCATTCCTTGTCCACTCTGATCATCAATAATAGCTATTAACAATTACTGTTAATAATTTTAATCATTTTTATTCGAGGGGGCAGATCTCAGCTCCAATAGAACCAATGCTGTACCTATCATTCCATTGTTACAGTTTCAATCCAGTGTATTTTCCAGGTTTAGCACCTTTAAGCATCTCTTTTCTAAAGGGAACAACCGTGGAGAGAGGTCTTAGGTTAGTTCTTATCAGTTAATGCTTCCATAATCAGCTAATGCTTTAATGAGGATTATTTGATAGCCAGCTGAGAACAAGAACAGAATTTTGCTTGGGCAAGTGGGGATGGAAAGGTACTACGGGCAGCTGGAGGACCAGTGAAGGTCGAGTGAGAGAGCCCCTAACACAAAGGCTTCACCCAAGTGCATTTGCCTGGACTCTGCCCCACTGCGGATGTCCCTCAGAAGTCGGCATGAAGGCGGACCCAGTGTGCATTTCGTAGGACTGTCTGGCTGAAGTATGAACGAGGAGGAACGGAAGGCAACATACAAACATGAAAGCGGGCCCTGGTGGGC